ACAAATGTGCCTCGGGGCACCTGTCTGAATGGCACTTACTGGAAACAAAGAGCTGTGGAAACCCAAAGGGGAGGCCCTGGGGTCTTGGGAGGGGGTTCCAGCTTTGCTCCCTTTGCTGTGGAAGCCACCATGGCTTCCCAAGGAGCTGAGCACTTGCCGCATGGAGAGCGCTGAGCCCAAGAGGGAGCCTGTGAGCAGGGACCCTGCTCCCACCAAGGCCATGGAGCACCCGGTACCACAGAAAACCCCAGTCCAGGCCCCATCCAGGCACCTCCGTGCATGAGGCAGAGCAGACCAGAAATCACTGTTCAGGGAAGTCAGGGGGAAGGTGGCACCAGAGGCACCGTCCCATCCCTGCCAAGCTCTCTCATCCCTTCCTCGCCGCTTCTTAATCATGTTATTTGAGGGCGAGTTTTGTTTTATTAGAGGAAAGAAAAAAAAAGAAATAATAATAAACCCTTTATCTGCTTTCCTCTGAGGTGTGCCGGGGCAGGGGAGAGCTCGGAGTTAATGGTTACCGGTCCATGAGGCAGCTGGAAAGCAGATGCGTCAAGAAGGTCAGGGGCTGAGGGCAAGGGCCGGCTTTGCCACGTGAGGCCAAGAGCCCACGAGGCTCTTGGCTTTGCCGGGAGCCGGCGATGGAGGACAGCGCCCAAGGACCAAAGGGGAAAGCGCTTGTCGCCCGAATGGTGACAAGGAGCATCTTGGTGACACTGAGAAGCCGAAACAACCGCCATGGAGGGCCAATGGGGAGGGAAGCTTCCCATGGGGTACTGTGGCACGCTTGTCGGGATGGAGCCGAGGGGCAGGACCAGCTCATGGCAGACGAGGCTGCCCTGCGGCACGCGGCCCCGCGCGCCCCGGCCCTGAGACGACGCCAGCGCGCGGTTATCGGCCGTGGGGAAGGAAGGGCGTGGGCTGCCGCGCAGTGCCGGCACTCGGCATTTCTCAGAAGGCCCTTGGGCAAACACCGCGGCCCAGCACCAGCCTCCTTCCGCCTCGGCTCCTGTTTACAGATCCGCTTGGCCCGGCCCGGGCGTTCTTACGGCTAAAGGCGCAGATAAGGCCGGTCGGGAGCGCGCCGCCATAGCGCAGGGGCAAACAGCCCTGCTGGCAGCCAGCGGCCTTGCCGCAGCCTCTGGCAAAGGGGGCCTCTCCGTGCCAGGGCAAGGCAGCGATTCATGCTGCCTAAACATATAGGGGCAATCTGGTTTGTTTAATCCGTCCTCTCCCTTCCTGCTCCTCTCCTGGGCCTCGCTGTCCACGTTTTTGCTTAACGGTTGGTTTTCTTGGTTGACTTCAATGTATTGACACAAGCTTAAACTTTGGTGTTTCCCGGAACGAAGGGCAGATTTGAGGGATTAAGCCAGTGTCTCAGGGGCTTACAGGTCTTCTGCGTTTGTCCCAGCTCCAAAATCTGGAGAGGGCAAGTCAGGCTATGAAGGACGGTGCCTGTTTGCAGTCTTTACAAGCACGTGCAAACACCAGGCCCATCTTTAAGGGAAGAATCTCAGGTTTTATCCACACTTCTCCTCCAGGTTACATCGAGACCCCTGGCCTATATCCCAACTCTGCAGAGTCAACCCAGTTTAGGGCCAAATACCTTGAAAATGGCCAGTTTTGTTAACACTTTGAATGTGAATCACTTGGTTTGTTGAACAAAGAGGCCACCAAATAGCCTTTGGGGATCCTAGCTCCCCAATAGGTTCTCAATAAGGTCACAAAAAGAGCCAGGCACCCAGCATAGAGGCCAGCAGCCCACAGAAGACCCCAGAGCAGCAAAGCAAGGCACAAGGATGTGGTCTTTGAGCAGATTCCCAAGCATCTGCTGGTGCTTAGGGGAAGGCAGAATGAATCTAACACAGATAGCCATGAAACAGCCTGCCCAGAACAAAGCACCTTGGTTTCACCATGCCAATGCAAGGCCTGGTCAGACATTAAACATGACGGGTTTGCTGATTAGATGTAAAACACGACAGCTGCCCCAGCACACACCAGTAGCTCTCACCCCTCGAGCAAAGCGGCCCTTTTGCCCCTGCTCTTTGTTTTCCGTCCCTTTCGTCATATCCTACCGCGCGATAACCTCTGGCCTCTGCCTTCACGCTCCTCCAGTCCTTCCTCTCCATATCAGTTTCTTGCTAAGTGCTTCATGGCTCCAAACTCCTGACCTGCGTCTTTGCCAGCTGCAAGGAGTCCAGGGCTCAGGGCTTCATCCTGGGGGACACAAACAGCTTCTCTCCAGCATCCTCTGGGTTCACCAGCTCAGCCAAGGGATCAGATCACCACACCATGCCAGGACAGAAGTCAGCTCAGCCTACAGCAAGAGCAGGGACAGCATTCTGGGCCCCACACAGTCTGAACATCAGGGTCTGGCCCAAGGCAGCATTAATGGGGCATAGAGAGCACATGGAAGAAGAGAAAAAGCCTCAGACCAATATGGTCCCTCACCCAGGGTGACCATATTGGTCACCCTGGCTAGACCTGGCCTGGTCACGCAGGCTAGACCATGAGTCTGCCCTTCAGGTCAGTTTGGACATATTGCACTAGAGGCTGCAGGGAGTCACATCTCTGCCCTCTCCTTTGCTCAGTGTTGGGCACTTTGGGGACTTGATTTCTGGTTGTCATGTTGCACAGAAGCCTCCAACACAGGAGTTCCCAACATGTTGCCCATCTCCAAGACCATACGCACTTGGGACTGCTCTTTCCCAGGTCACAGCCCCTCTGCCAACAGCTAAGAGTCCCTCTGGCTCTGGCCAGTCCCTAAGGCTCTGGCCTTAGCATGGGGACACAGGGTGCTCATGGCCAGCCTGCAAACCCTCACATTTCACACAGGCAGAAACGCTGGCTCTGAACAGACACTTAATTCTGTCACTGGACAAAGTGTATTCCAAGTCAACCCATTCCAAGCAAAGGGAAATCAAAAATGCACAGAGTAGGGGCACATATTGAGAGAAAACACCCTAGGACCTACCTAAAATCAGGGCAGAGGCAAATTTAAGTGGATTGTAGCCAAAGCAGCTTGGCCGCGTGCCCCCAGCTCTGCTCCCCAGAACAAGCCTACACCAGATTAGCCTTCAACTTGCTCAAACCCCCGCACAAATTAGTCACCAAGGCTTGTGGTTTTACCAGTTGGCACAGGCTGTGCCGAAGCCGTGGACATGGGGCAACTCAGCAGGTGTATAAAGGAGCCGTTCCCCATTGGCTGCCCTTAGTGGAGCTAAGAGCTTCTCACTGAGTAATTAATATAATGACAATAATAGACCTAAAGTAAACACGGTGGAAAAAAAAAATCAATGGACTCGGAGCAGAGGCCACACTTGGGAGGGAACAGTCCTGCTGCCTTCTGCCGTCGCCCCAGTGCCACGGAGCCGCACGCGTCCCGACGGCCTTGGAGCGGGTAGTTTGAGACCCGGCCGCAAGCGAGGCTGCACCCGCAGCTGCTCCCACTCCGCAGGAGGCGGCACGGAGGTAAGGGCCAGGACTCGGCTGCTCCCGACGCTGGGATTGAGGGGTTGGGGCCAAGTAGGTGGCTGTTGCATGCGACTTTGTGTGGGCATCTGGGCACCTCCTGGCGTGGCCTGGATGTGTTTCTGCATCCTGCTGATCTCACGGTCTCTCCCTTCCCAGGGCAGGATGGTTAAAGGTCTAATAGCGGGGTGGGCGTTTGGTCCTGTCCTGCCAGAACAGGTGAGTTCTGGAGCCGAAAGGGGAAGAGCTTAGGATGCCCTCCCCTGCGAGAGGTGCAATTGGAATCCCCACAGATCAAAGGGAAGAGGGAACCACTGAGATTCAGCCCCTTTCAGATAACTTCTCCCCCAAAGCCTTACGACAAGGACACCCCATTCCCCACCAAGCATCTCTGCTGCAAGGGGTCTGCTTTCACTCCAGCCACCCCCCGACCCATGTTGCTCCCTGCAGAAATAGCAGCTTTTACCACAAACCGAGCCCTAAGCAAAGGCAGTCTTGCCTGATCGCTGTGAGTGACGGGACGTCCTCATCCTGGGAAACATGGTCCTGACGTGATTTTCTCAAAAAGCTGCAAGAGAAAAGTCACCAGGATCAGGATGTTTTATCTGTGCCAATCCCTCAAATTTATGTGCCGGGGTGCTCGTGACTCCGTGCTCTTCCAAATATCACACTGAAAGCAGAAAAAGAAAGCGAGCCAGGTGTTAACTGTGTCCAGATCTCAGCCCTCGCGGGTGGGAGGCTGGGTCTTTTCCCAAAATCTTGGCTTTTTTGCCTCTCATCAGTTCTGTCACCTTTGTGTGGCCGTACCCAGGGGTGCGGTGTAAATCACACAGTCTAGAAACGTAAGAAAGAAATCAAATCCATCACCCCAAAATCAAACAGCTCTGAATTTTAGAATCGGTCTGAGCTTGTTCAGCTTTTCCAGCTAATCCTTAGAACAACAGAAGAAAAGGACAAAACCTGAATCCAGGGCTGTATGCAGAGAAGGTGTGAAAGGTCCACCTGGGAACACACCTCTGGTACCAGTGCAAGGAAAAGATATCAAATACTCATTTTAATGCAGGTTTCTCAGGACAGATCTGGACAGGAGGACTTTTCCTCAGTGCCTTGCAGTTACCTGTCCAAAGAGACATTTTTAATACCTAATCTGGGCTCAACACAAACCTCTTTTCCTCCTCATTCAGGTCTTGGAGGAGGAATTGCAGTTACCTGTCCAGAGAGACATTTTTAATACCTAATCTGGGCTCAACACAAACCTCTTTTCTTCTTCATTCAGGTCTTGGAGGGGGAAGAAGCTGCAGAACAGCCAAGAGAAGCCCCAAAGAAGCAAGGTCTTCCAAGGACCACTTTTGCCTTATGCTCAAGGGTAAGCCTGAAGAGGTCCAAAACGCAGGAGGCTGAGGCCTCCAAATTCACCACACAAGGGGCCTCTACAACAAAGCACAAAACCTCTTTGTAGGCCCCTCACCTCATCCAACCTATTAACTCCCCATTTTCTCAATGTGGCAGGTGACCTCCAGGGCAGCCAAGCCATGCTGGCCAACAAAGTCTCAAGACAGAAGCCGTGTCACCACTGCACCCACCAGCACGCTTCAGCCGCGCCCGACCACTCCACGATCCACTATGAGAAGTCCTGGCTCTACCGGCACTGCTCCTCGCCGGTGCAGGGGGACAGGCAGTCGCAGAAAGCCGGGCAGCTCTTCTCAGGGCTGCTGGCCATGAACGTGGTGTTCCTGGGCAGTGCCTTCCTCAGCAGCATGATTTTCAACCACGTGGCCATCACGCTGGCAGACGTCTGGATCCTGCTCTCCATCCTCAAGGTCTTGTGCCTCTGCTGGATCGTCTACTACTTGCTGGGCACCAGCCGGCAGCCGCACGCGGTGCTGCACCGCGACGACCATGCCGGGCCCATCTGGCTGAGGGGTAAGTTCTGCTTTTGTGCGTCATTTCCTGCCTTCTCCCTTTCTCCCAGCACTGGGAAGATAAGGAAATCCATTTACTTGCACTCAAAGAGAAAGTTCCCCAAGGGAGATGTAATTAGGACACTGGGAATCTCCCCGTGTTCCTTGTGTTAGGAGGCTGAGGGGAAGATGGAGGCAAAGCTAATGCCACAGGAAGGGACCTGAGCAGCCGGTGAGGCCAGGGGCTCGGCTCCCCTTCAGCCTACACCATGAACCTTGCTATGTGACTCCTGCCCAGGGCACAACAGAGGCTTCTCCCCCACAGCCCAGCAGCTGAGCATAGAGAGGTAGGAAAGGTTTTAAGAACGTTTTAAGAATGACTGGCTCCATGTTCCAGCACCTGGGGAGCTGGGCCAGCACTAGGAAAGCTGTTTTGCTGAGGTTCCCTAACACTTAAACCTACAGCCAAAAAAAGAAAAAGAGAAAAGGGAGAGAAACATAAGGGCTGTGACGTGCAAATGAGAAACCCTGGACTCCTGCATCCTACAAGAGCAGAGCATGGGCTTCGGGCAGCCAGAGCGACTCCAAATCCCATGCTCAGGCCCTCACTTTGCAAAGCAAGCGAAGAACCTCTGCATTTACCCTCCCATGATGTCAGCAGCCCCACACTGCCCTCGCCCTTGTTTAACATCACAGCAGCCCCGTTTCTAAGGGAAGCTTCCTGCCCAATGACTCAAGTCCCAGCGACAGCCAAGCTTTCCTTGGAGATCTTCCATCAGGTGTTCACCACAACTGCTCAGCTTGGTCAAACGATGCTTCTCCAAACTGCCCTGTCTCACACACAGTCTCATTAATGAAGCATGGAAATCTAAGGGGAATACAACTGCAAGAGACCGCAGCACCTAAAGCTGTAGAGAGATATCAATACACAGAGAAACAGTAAAAACAGTCTCTTTTACAGAGTGGTGTTGCCAAGACCTTCAGCCAGGCTGATCTCTTGAAGCAAGGTGGAAACCTCCATCTGCTATTAGCTTTCCTCCATCCCCCCAGATTGCACGGAAAAGGCTGAAAACCCTCCTCCAGACACAAAGAAATGTCTGGCACTGTCTCAACCTTAAACACACCAGCCAAAGCACCAAAGCAAGTGCAGGAATCTGGCTTTCCTTTCTCCCCTTCTCCCAAAATCATGAGACTTCCAAAGTGGAAGGCCTCCAGCTCCTCCCAAATCCAAGAGACACAAGGTCTCTAAACCCAAGCTGGGATCAAATGCTCCATGGACATGTCTTTGCTGATATATTGGTGCTTTTGTCGCTTGCCTAGGATCCCTATTGCTCTTCGGTGCTTTCAGCGTCCTCCTGAACGTGTTTGAAATTGGCTACAGCGTCATTCACATCCAGTGCAAATCCCAGGTGCAGATCGTGTTCCCCTGCATCGAAATCCTTTTCGTTGGCACCCAGGTACTGCACGTTATCCCTCTGGGAGTCCCCTTGTTCCTTGTGTCCTGTCACTGGGAGGCCACAGCAGTGGGAGCACATAGGGAAGCAGGTGCATGTGAGGCATTCTCACGAGTAAAGACACATCACGCACTGTTTCAAATAACAAAGAAATAAGATTTTGAGATAAATGTCTCTAGCAACACCTGATGTACTGTTAGATCTAAAGGAATTTGTTCTGAAACATTAAAGTAGGGAGAAAGGAGAGGAAATTCATAGATTTGGCCAAGGAGAGATTCTTGTATCAGTCTCTCCACGTAAGTCCAGCCTTGCTCTATTTGTTACACCCCCACACAAAACTATTTTGCTCTCATAAATATCTCGCACCCTTTGCAACTCCACTGTCAACAACGCTCTTCCCCCTTCCTGCCCAAGCCCAAAGCCATCTTTGAAAAGTACCTAGCTCCCATCTCAGCAACAAATGCTCATGCACAAGAGAAAAGCAGATCCCCTAGCCCTCCTTTGGCATCAGGAAAGGTCACACACATCCACTAGAGTCACCTGGGGATACTGGCACACATGCCAGCACTGAAACGCAGGTGCACACACAGCACAGAGGCAGCTTTGTTCCCACTCAAACACACACCTTCTCGCCCGCCTCTCTCCTCTGTGAGAGCAATGGGCTGCTGGTTTCGCCCTGCTCATGTCTTTATTTTTACCATTTTGCAGGCTGTTTTCCTGTGGCATCACTCTAAGGACTGCATTCAAGTCCAGCACAACCTCACCAGGTATGAGAAACAAAGGAAAAGCTTTTTACTCTTTTCTGAAGAGGAACTTTTCCTTTCTATTTGTGAGCTCTCTTGCTAGACCTGTCTTCACCTGATCTTACACAAGCCCTTTATATTCTGCATCACATAAAAACTAGGTTATGACTTGACTAGACTCGTCCTCCTTCTGTCTACCTGGGCTCACCAGCTCCCCCTGGTCTTCAGTTGCACCTGAAGAGCCTCAAAGCCTGTTCCCTCCTCCCAGCCCCAAAGACCTTTGCACCTCATGGTTCAAGGGTTAATTCCCCATTCCTGTTCCTGGGTTCCACATCAGGCACTGGAAGATATCTCAGTCTTCCCTCCAGTAACTGTGCCCAGGCTGAGGCCAGTTTTGCACTAGCTACAAAGCCTGCTCTTGAATGCCCTGCTCCTTTGCAAATGGCCAAACGGGAACATGTACAGTTGGATTTGTGGGCGCAAAGTTGTGTGCCAAGGGCCACATGAACACAAAGCACCCTATCTGCATCCACCTGCACACAAATAAACACAGAGCAGAGGACAGCACTGCATGACAGGTGAACACATGATGAGGTTGTAAGCAATCTTGATAATCAACGTATGGTGAAAGTGCCTTTCCCTCCTCCCAGGTGTGGCCTGATGCTGACCATAGCCACCAACCTCCTCCTCTGGCTCTTAGCAGTGACCAACGACTCCATTCACGAGGAGATCGAGTCTCAGCTCCGCGACGTGGAGCAGCGATTCGCAGGCAAGGCTCCTCTTCCACACATCCCTATTCTTGCTCGACTTACCTCTGGGGAGGCAACAGGTCCTGGTCTCTGTGATTTGGGTATCTCATCCAGCTCCCCCAAACGCTGCAGCTTTTCCTATTGCTGCAGGTTGCCTTCAGCAGATGTGCTGCAGCAGGGAGACTTGCTGCATAAACCTACCACATTAGCGGGGGAGGAAAAGAAAAGCCTTTTCTCTTCACATAGTGACACTTACATTCACCTGTCAACTGCAGCCAAAAGATTGCTAGATTAGAAGAAACCTCCATAGCTGTTGTGCTCTGCTTTTAAGAGTAAGGAAAAAGATAAGAAAGAAATAATATTCCAAGGGTCAGGAGGTTCTGCTGTGAAAGAAGGGATGTATCTCTCATTTAGTACCTCTGGTTTCACCAAAAGGAACATTTAGGAATCCTGTTATTTTGAATCCTTACAACCTTGAAGAATGAGAGCTGGTCACTTCCTACTGATCATCCTTTCCATGACACATAAAGACAGAAGCCATTCCTGCATATACAGAGCTCCTGAAGATAGCCATGAAATTCAGGACATCTTCCTTTTAACTGTTGCCTTCCTCTTCTCTCACTCCAGGTAACGAGACCATCTTGTGCACGTGCCCAAACACAACTGCCTGCAAGGTCTTCCAGAAAGGCTACATCCTGCTCTACCCTTTCAGCACTGAGTTCTGCCTTGTTTGCTGCTCCATGCTTTATGTCATGTGGAAGAACGTGGGGAGGCGCATCAGCCACCACCATGCCCCTCATATTAAGCCCAAATTCAAGCTCCAGGGGGTGGTCTTTGGACCACTGTTGGGTGCTGCTGCTGTGATGATTGGTATCTGCGTCTTCATGATGTACCAGATCCAAGCCACTGGCTCAGCACCCAACCGCCAGGTCTTCGTCATGTATTATTCCTACTACATTGTGCTCCTGCCGCTGATGAGCGCTGCCGCAGTGATTGGGACAATCATCCATGCCTTGGAGAAGAAGGATCTGGACACGCTGAAGAACCCAACCCGCAGCCTGGACGTGGTGCTGCTGATGGGGGCAGCTCTTGGCCAAATCGGTATGTCCTACTTCTCCATTGTTGCCATTGTGGCCACCAACCCCAGAGACCTGCTGAACAGCCTCATCCTGTCCTATTCAGTCCTCCTCATCTTTCAGCACATCACCCAGAACGTCTTCATTATTGATGGGCTCCACAGGCAGCCATTTGTAGAGTCAATTGAGGCCAGACATGCTGGACACGCCAGGCAGCACGCAGTGGGTGCAGAGCTCCCCCATGAAGAGACAGCCACAGCAAACAGCAAACAGGAGCACACACAGCCCCCTCTCAGCAAAGAGGAAGAGTCAAAGGACGAGTGGAATCACGAAGCTCACAACCAGAGACGAGTGAGCGTGCTAGAGCTGGGCCAGGAGATCCGCAGAGTTTCCCTCTCGTACATCCATACCTACTCTCACCTGAGCTGGAAGAGGAAAGCATTAAGGGAGATCTCCTTCTTCTTGGTTTTGTGCAATATCATAGTAAGTATTCTTCTCTCTGCCACACCAAAGTTTGGCTGAGCTCTGAATGCAGACATGGTCTCCTCTTTCCTTTGGAACTTCATTCCAGAGAAGCAACCTTTGCCCACCGAGCTTTAACCTACTGGTGCAACCATCTTTACAAGTCAAGTCCAGTTTTTCTGTTAATTCCCTACTCTCCTGTTTCTAAATGCTCTTTTTGGCCTAAGAGTGAAACATAACTAAGTTTTCCCAGGCGCAGGAAAGGAGACAGCTCTCAAATTCTTACGTGCCATGACTTTAACCTCTGAAGAAATTATCAAAATCATTAAGGATTTCATTAAAAATATTTCACAAGGTAATAGGAGAAGTATGGGTAATTAGTAGTGAGTCTTTGTAATCAGTAGTCTCCAGGATTGAAATGCAGCCATAAGCACACTAGGCTCTGGGATTTTAAAGCCATCTGGATCTTCATCATGGCCTTAAACTAGTGAAACTGTGGACAACTCCAGTCTGCACGAGAAGGAGGAAACTGGCTGGGGCAGAATGAGGCTCTCATGAGGTTTCCTGGAGTTCAAGGGACAGGACTTGACTTAGCAAAGACCAAGCAGGTTTATCGAGGAAGCTTGCCTTCCCTCCTTTAGCTGTAAGGTCCCTTTGATGCTCTTGAGATATTCCTACAACCACTTGAGGCCACAATGAGATCAGAGTGCAGGTAGCAGGCAGTTTGCCATCTTCTGACTTTGCTCTTTTTTCCTCACACCTCTTTAGCTGTGGATCATGCCCACATTTGGGGCTCACCCGGTGTTTGAGAACGGACTGGAGAAGTCTTTTTATGGCTATTCCACCTGGTTTGCCATCGTGAACTTCGGCCTCCCTCTGGGCGTGTTCTACCGCATGCACTCGGTGGGAGGACTCCTGGAGGTCTACGTTACGGCCTGAACTAGGCTGACCGCCCACCCCAAGACCGGGGGAGAAGGATGAGGCCAAACACAGATATGGTAAGCAGCACACGTGCACACAAAAGCCTTTCAGTTTCTTCCTTCTGACTTCTGCTTTGACTTCTTACACATCTCCATATGCTTCAGAAAAGGAGGATGTTCTGTATAATTATTTTTCTTCCATAGACATCAGGGTTGACACACACAAACTGTTTTACTGAGCTAAGGAAGCGCTCTGGTACTTTGTAGTAGTCTGCCAGTGAACGCTGTGTGGCAGCGAGTGAGACTTTACCCACTCCTATTGAGATCTTCCAGACTAAAGAACGCAAGAGCAACCTTCAACCAAAGCAGCAGACACTGATCTGCACCCTGCTCAACACCCAGATCTACAGACACGGACACCAGTCCCTCCACTGCTCACCATCCCTCTCTCCTGCAGCACGGAAGAGCCTTGTCCTCGAGATAGACAGCAGGAAGACTAGAAGGATGCACCTCACCTATAACTCAAAGAACCAAATATTTTCTATGTGTAGTTTCCCCAAGGATCAGTACACTGGGTAGCATGCTGTGACGATCCAAACAAGGTTTATTTCTGCTTGTTCCTGGTGCTAACACTTCAGATGCCAACTTGGGTGAATCCCATAAGACCCAAGACCACAGAAGTGCCAAAAATGTGCAGCTCAATGACAAAGAGCAGAATAGGTCTTCAGATTTTCACTAGTTCAGGGCATCTTCTCCCTTTCTCTAAAATGGAAGCAATACCATTATGTCACCTTAAGGAGAAGCTAAATGATATTTCTCCTTACAGGCACTCAGAGAACCTTGAGTGAGAAGCACTAGAGAAGGGTTGTGGCTGATGCTTATGCTGCTCGTGCGTGATGTTAGCACCGGTGTGTAACAGCCAGGGTCCCGGTTCATGGTGGTTCAAGAAAGAGCTACTGCCAGAGCTACTGTGAATCCCTCCCACCCCAATACTTTTCCCCACCACTGCTCACACACCTCCAAGATCCACAAACATTTCAGGGGACACTGAGCATGAAAGAATAAAATTACACAACGGGACACTTGATCAAAGACCCATTAGTACTTGTCCATAGGAGATGCTTGCTTTGGAAGCACGTGGGAGAGCACGGGGCTCGGGACTATGGGTCTCAAATACAGAGCGTGATGAACGGAAATAAAGACAAATTGAATGCTCACCTGTATCTGGTGGAATCTCTGGGTCTGCTCTGCTCTCAAAGACCAAATTCAATGTCACCTCACTTTGACTTGCACCACTCTTGCATTTGGAGGTTATACAAGGACAGGCCTTGCTTTATAATCAATCCTTTTTTTCTGCTATCAAAATCCTTCATGACTCTTAACAAAGGCCAAAGAAATAAAGTACAAAATGTACTTGTTACCTCTTCTGTCCCTCTATAAATCAATCTCAGGACAAGGGTGGATCACAGCCTGACAATGGCTGCCCCATGCTCCAATCTCATGGAGAACCAACCTTCCCCGAGGCAGGAACGGTGATGAGAAACTCCTGACCATCCTCATCCCACTGTCCTCATGATTCAGCATTCAGGCTAGGACACCTTCCTGTGAGGCTAAAAGCAAGAATGATAGTGTGAGCATGAACTTTGCCCAATAAATCCTTTCACTTAGGCCTGTGTCAACAGATATATGTCATGAGAAGTAACAGCTGGATAAATTAGGCTCCAATAAAGTTAATAATTATTCTCATTTCACAGTTTGTACCAAGGGATCCACAGCAGATTCATGCCAAGCTCCGGCCCTTTCAAATGATAAACAGGAACTCAAACCTTCCCCCTAGTTTTTGACAGCTTGGGGACAAGGAATGATATAGCTCATGAGCTAACCCATGACCTTACCTGGACTTTATCTGCAGTATAATCCTGCTTAAAGATAACGAGTCTCCCCTGAACACAGTATTGTGGAGCTCTCCCAATGAGGTATAAATTGCAAGTCCCATGAGTACTATGCCCACATATCTACTGAGAGGTTTGCTTGTGATCTCTGTGGGAACAGGATGACCTACCCGAATGTCTGACCAGCATGAACAGGAAAGAAACCCACCTGTCCCAGCTCTCACGAACAGCCACTGTAAATCAAATCACAGCCCTCTGTCCCATTCCAAAACCACCCCGTTCCAAGGCAGCAGATGGAGGTAAAGAGCCTGCACGCCGCCGCGGAAAGTCGTCAGCCCAGCGAGGAACGCGGTGCTGATGCACCAGTATTCCATTGCTTGTCCCAAGGGAGGGTTCCAGTTCTATGCAACTCAAGCTTTGGGCTGGGTGGGCTTTTCACGAGCACCCAGAAGAGGTAAAACCAACAGCACAGAGCTTGCGTGCAGCTGAACTGAGAGACCGAGTTGGGTCTGTTTAGCTTGGAGAAGAGAAGGCTGAGAGGGGATATGATTAACATAAGTTCATTAAGGGGGAATGTAGGGAGGAAGGGGCCATGCTCTTCTCTGTGGTGGCCAGTGACAGGACAAGGGGTAGTGGGTGCAAACTGCAAAACAGGAGGTTCCATCTCCATGTGAGGAGGAACTTCTTTACTGTGAGGTTGACAGAGCCCTGGAACAGGCTGCCCAGGGAGGTTGTGGAGTCTCCTTCTCTGGAGGTCTTCAACACCCGCCTGGATGACCCCCTGTGCCACATGCTCTGGGTGTCCCTGCTGGAGCAGGAAGGTTGGACTAGATGATCTCTGGAGGTCCCTTCCAACCTTAAACATTCTGGGACTCTGTGAATTGCCCTGCAGCTGCTACCTCACATCAACAGCAGGGCTACTGATGTGCAGGTAACCTGCACGTGCAGCGAGAAGCAAGCCAGGGGCACAGCCACGTCACCCCGGGGCCCTCCTGCTCTCACCGTCCTTGTCCTGCCATCAGTGCAGCACTCTGAGCTCACCTAGGGCCAACGCTGCCCGTTTTATGGGTCTCAGTTGCACAGGGGTTGGAGCACCCACCTCGCAAGGTCAGGAGACTTGGTCCTGTTTCTTCTAGTTTGTCTTGGTTCCTTTGAGGCAGGCAGCTTTGCTGATGACTCCTATCCACAGTGCAGAAGGAGTCCAAAAACACACATTTCAGCTCCATTTTCCAGAGATGCAGTTTTCATTTTTGATTAAAATGAAAAGAAAATCTCGCACATTTCAATGGAGGCCAGCATATGTTTGCCCAGTAGCACAAATCATGCAGACACAACACAAACAAGATTATAGATCTCTGGGAAAAAAAAAAAACAAGCAGCCAACTGCACATTTCAAATAATCTTTATCTCTCTGTAAATAAGCAAATAGTTTACAGTGCAAGTTGATTTTCACAGAACAAAGATCAGACACCAAACACCAAGAAACAAAAAGAAAATTCCAGAGGAACTCACAAATAAAAAAGAATAAAGCAGAAAAGAGGACGGAAGAAACCATGAGAAGCAGCAGACCCACAGGAGCAGACACAGCGTGGCCCGTACAATCAGAGGCTGGTCCCACCAAGTCACGTTCTTAAACACAGAGGAGATTCCAAGCAGAGACCTCGCCCTGTCCACATCTGAACAGGGATGGAGTGAGGGTGGAAGTCGTGGTAGATGGCAAAGAGGACTGGAGGCTGGGGAGGCAAAAATCACCTCTCTCTACTTGACATACTTCACGTCTCTTAGAAAAAAACAATTCAGGCTGTATTGTGGCTATCCATTGGCTCGGGGACTCCAGACCACTCTCCATGCCAGGAGACCACTTGACTATAAGTCAAGTCTCCAAGAGAGTAAAGCATTCCCCCTAGGAGAGGAAAAGCAGCCATGCTGCTACAGCTCTAGCTTCAAAACTTAGGCAGGGGTCAGGAAAATGTGTGCCACACCTGTCCCCTTCCTGAAGGGCATGAGAGCAGCTCCAGTGGGTGATCTCACTGCTTCTAGACTCTGGCAAACGTATCACAACCAGTGATCCTCCTGAGAGCCTGAAGCCCAGAGCACCAAGGATTAAGTTTTGGTGGAGAGACAGAAAGGTCTCAGTGGTCTCAATTAATGGCAGGACCCCTCACATTTCACTGCCTGACGACCACACAGGTCTAAACACTAACCTCGCCAAGAAGAACGAGAACTTTGACTCAACCTCCTGGATGACCATCTACCATGTACAATTCCATGCTGCTGAACCAGGCCAGCAACAGTCAATCTCCCACTATTCCTCACTCTGGCTTCTCAGATTTCGCATGCTTGGGACCCAATACATTCAAGATCCAATAGCTTGGCCGCTTGCAAAATGTCCTGAAGAATCCAATGTTGCCTCAGCAATCCCCACTCCCTAGTGACATGGAGATACTTTTCCTCCTGCAACTTCCAAGTTCCTCCTACAGCTTCCCTGAGTGCCTCCCTCACTGCTCTAGACAGCAGCATGCAAGAAAACCCTCATGTTCCCCACTCTGCACCAACCTGCTAGGCTAAGATGGAAGGTTAAGGCTCCTTCCAAACCCAAGTGACACTGTCCTGGAGAAGCCTAATAGAGCTTAACAGATCTGTTCCTCCCACCAGGCCAGCTCATTCCTCTCCCTGAAGGCTTACCTGGGTCCAAGAGTGCTTTCCCAGGTGACACAATCTACTGCGAGCGCCCACCACGAGGGACAGCCTGGTGGGCCTGGAAGCCAAGGAAGAGCTTCTCATACCACAATGAAGCACTGGTTACTGCAAACCGCCTTAAGCAGCTTTCCAAGAAATGGGTAGAGAGATTCAGAATTGAGACAAGAACAGAGATATCTGTTAGCAGCTCCTCCTTTCATTTGACTGGGAAAAATGCTACCACCAACATACGAGTGAGACATCTGGGAGACATCTGCAGTCAGAAGGGACACCCTGGAAACTCTACGAAGCCACACGGAAGTAACTACAGGTTTCCAAAATCCCTTCTCCTGCAGGAATAGCAGCTTCTCCCTTGCACCCAATTTACAGCCAGTCCTTCAATTAAATGTTGACTCTGACCTGAGCAAGGACAGCGTCATGTTGGCTTCTAAAACAACTCGAGGAGCAGAAGAGTAACCTAAGAGCTAAGAACAGTCTGATTTCTAGTGCAACCACAAGAGTGGATGATCCCTTAGACACCTTTCACTCCAGGTTCATGGTGAAGGGCAAGGGAAGAGAAGTGAGCTGGGGGGAGGGATGTCCAAGCAGATCCCAATTAAAGCTTAAAATGACAGGGAGGTAAATGAAGCGATTGTCCTTTTGGTCTCTCAGCTGGATGTGAAATGCAGGAAGAGCTGTGATGAAGCAGCACACAGCAAAGTCCTTAGATCCAGTGTATTTCTCTTAGCAGAGGTAAGTGCTCTCAGACCCGCTGAATTTCAAAGAGCTTCACATCTGTGTCATACCAGATAGGGGGATCCACATTCCTGGGAGAGAAAAACAAGACCCACTTTACTCTCTTTGACCAGGTGCCTGGAACTCAAACCCCACTACCAGGCTTACAGGACTGGCTATGAGGAACAGATGACAGATGCAAAAGATGACATCACAGTTGAGACAAGGGGCCGTAAAGGGATGACAATTTCTACAACATCCCCCAAAGTTGAGTTTTGCTTCTAGTCTCTGCACCATCCTCTCTAAGCAACAAGAGGGAATAGAAAAGCTGCCAGTTCTCAAACAAGAAGTGCTCCCGAGACCAATTTCCTTCCTATCTCCAGTTCAAACAGAAAGTTTTGGAGCAACTAATTCTCCCTAGTCATTTCCAACAGTACCACATCTATCTTTCCTCTAAATGAGAGGCAGCCTAAAGCTGCCAAGTGCACTCACATCTCTGTGGGCTATAAAAATGTTTGTAAAATGACTAGGTTAAACTTCACCCACTTGATTTACCTCAAATAAATAACTCCCCACATGTAGGTTCGGAACCACATGGCAGTGCCCGAGTTTGCCTGGTACTTGCGGATGAGGATGGGGTGAGGGACAGGCAAGAGCCCCACCAGAGTGCCATGCTGCAAGAACTTGAGAATCTCCGACTCATCTGTGAGACCCCTGTAAAGAGACAGAATAGGAACATTCCTGGTATGTCTCAGAGGAGAGATAATTTTGCTGCAGCAAAAATGATCTTTTTAAGCAAATTCACACATGCATGCACACATCCAGACAGAGAACCAACAACTTTGACCCTCAAAACATGCATTGCCTCCAGTGAATGAGAGTTGGAAAGGGACTACAGTAACAACCACCTTGGCAAATAACACGGTCACTCCTCTGATGAAGTTGTGATGCTTTCAATTATATTTCACAAGAAAACAGAAATAAGTAAATTAGATTTGTTGGCCCAATTTCCTCTAAGAGACTCATCAAGTCACCAACCTCAGAGAGCAATTTATGCTGCAGCTCTTCCTCTCCCAAAATGCACTTACTTGTCAATGCAGATCTTCTCCACCTGAGGGACCAGAACCTGTAAGAGTCGCATGATTGTCTGAAGGGGCAGCTTTGACTTCCAAGACATCACCTATGTGTGGAAAAGACCACAGGGACATCAGTGCAAATGGTAGTTTTTCTGTGTTTATTTTCACTGTCTCACTTCATATGAGGTTTGCTGAATAATAAGAGGTGGATAAGCTAAAGGCACAACAATTATTCACCATATCAGGTGGCTTTAGGCTTACGAGATATTCAATGGGTTTTAGGTTTAAAAAAAGAACAAAATACTTCTTTGTAAGTGTTAGTGAACTTCTAGTGTTAAGACTACAAGTCAAAGGTATTCTCCACAAAGAAATATGCATCTCATTATTTACTTCCTTTGTGCAGCTGCCCTTACCCAGTCAGGAGTCGGGGTCCACTGCCCACTGGAAGATGCACTAGAGAGCCGCCTTCGATCCCGTCGAGGCTGCGATGCCTCCTATCAACACAGGACACCACAGTCAAGACCAAGACCTGCACCCCCTTTCTGTGCTCGGTGGCCCATTCCCCTCAGCTTTCCCAGGGCGCTCCTGTGCGACCAGCTCAGCCTGTCCCTGGGATAGATCAGACCCACCAGCCCAACGTTCCCCAAAGCTGACCCAGCAAGGGACAATCTGTGATGAAGCTGAGTCACCCTGTAGCAAATAACTCCATCCAGCACTGCTGACACACCTGCTGGAACAATCTGTGGTGGGAGAGCTAAATGAGACTGATAAGAAGGGGTTCAGGCATAGTTCTTTCTGCCAGCACAGAGGTTAAGTTGCACCTGCAAATAAAGACCCCAGGCTTTGAGATGCACGGAGAACCTGGGTACTCTGGGGGTTTTGTGCCCACTGTGTTTTTTTCAAAGCCTAAACAACATCATTTTACAACAATTTGCAGTTACAACTCATCATTCAGCACAGCTTCAGTAACATGTCCCCATCAAGCTTCTAAAAATAAAACTCATAAAAGCATAAACCCCCCCTATTTCCTTCAAGTGACCCCACCCTCTTGCCCTTTGCTCCTCTCTCTCCCACAGCCCTTACCCCTTTCCCAGCTGCCACCCAAATGCTGGCAGCAGGGTGACACTTTTAGGAGACAAGAGATGGAATTATGCCCAGATGTGAGAGCTGTTGAGCATTTCACGAGATGCTTTTGAAGTGGTTATGACTGATAAGTGGTGAACATTCCCAAAGATAAGGGAAAGAACTTAAATCACTCAAAGGTGGGGGACCTAATACACAGCAAGCTCTTAACTGGGTGCTTTGGAGACAGCATGGAACAGGGAGAGATGGTGTTCAGGAAGCCTGAAATAGCGCGATCCTTGGAGACTGGTGTGTGCTACGTGAGGCACCGCACAGCAGATTCTGTTCTCATAGAATCACAAAACATTTAAGGTTGGAAGGGACCTCTAGAGATCATCCAGTCCAACCTTCCTGCTCCAGCAGGGACACCCAGAGCATGTGGCACAGGCAGGGGCATCCGGGTGGGTTTTGAAGACCTCCAGAGAAGAAGACTCCACAACCTCCCTGGGCAGCCTGTTCCAGGGCTCTGTCACCCTCACAGTAAAGAAGTTCCTCCTCACATGGAGATGGAACCTCCTGTTTTGCAGTTTGCACCCACTACCCCTTGTCCTGTCACTGGCCACCACTGAGAAGAGCATGGCCCCTTCCTCCCTACATTCCCCCTTCATGTACTTATACATATTAATCAGATCTCCTCTCAGCCTTCCCTTCTCCAGGCTAGACAGGCCCAATGTCACTCAGTCTCTCCTCACACGAGAGATGTTCCAGTCCCTCAATCATCTTGGTCACCCTTCGCTGGACCCTCTCTAGAAGCTCCATGTCCCTCTTATACTGGGGGGCCCAGAACTGCACACAGCGCTCCATTCTCCCCACAGCCTACCCCACAGCCAGTGCTTCCCCACCCTGCACATCCTGGCGGATTTTCGCCCCGTTCCACAAACATCCAGACACACAAACAGCGCCGCTGGAGCCAGGTGGGGCAGCTCCTGGGTGGCCATCTGCCCGAGTGGCGTCAAAGATCTCATGCACACAAGGAGAGCCAATGGAAGCATCAGGATGTAAGAGCAGAACATGAGTCGTTTGCTTGCTCTGCCAGCTCGTGACGCCTTTGCTAATGGCCCCAGAGTAGTTGGCCTGTAGGCAGAGCGCTGACAAGAGTAAGGAAGAGCACAGCAGGCTACAAACAGCCTCACTGCAGGTCGGACCGCAGCCAGACATGGAGGCAAGAGCTGTAACTTGCTCACAAACTCCACAGGAAAGCACTGAGAAAGCTGGCAAGTCAGACTGTCTTTCCAGAGCAACCGGTCAGAAGGGAAGCAACTTCTAAAGAAGGGCTGAGATCCCCTTGACACCCTTCCCAAACAACACGCTTCAGCCTCACGCGCTCTCCAGGGTATTTGCATCTGCATCCCAGTTCTGCAGTGCTGGCTTAGCCAGGAACGTTCCCAGAGCAAAACAGATTGCAGCACAACATCAGTGAGCCAGAAGACATCGGCTGAGTTCTCCATCCCAGAAAGGCAGGAGAGGAGAAAAACAGAGGCAGTCAAGATCCAAGCTGAGAGCCTCTGGATCCTTCCCCTTTGCACACGTGCACTTACTGCTCCATCAGTGACTTTAAGACAGAGAAAGTCCCTCTCGTGTCCTAGCTCGTGTCACTAGCACAAGCAGGAACACCCATAATGAGGCAATACTGCTTCCAAACTGCAGTGTGTTCTAGCACAGCTTGGGTGTCATACTGCCCCACATAGGGTGCCTTCCTCCCTGGGCCCACCAGAGCTTCCAAAGTCTCCCATTTTAGCTCATTTTACACCCAAGTTCCCAGAGGTTAAGCCCAGATGCTCCCCAACCACCAGAGGAGTGTCCAGCCTTACCCCACTCCAGGGCTCCCCATCGTTCACAGCTGAGGGGGGGCTGCCCTCTGGTAGGGGCTGCAAAGACTCGGGCTCCAGTGAACGCATGGTCCCATCCTCCGACACCTGTGACTTCTCGGTGAGCTTGTCGATTCCTGTGTTGAACAGGGAAGAAGCTCAGAAGCACAAGGGAATTAAATGGGCTTAAAAGGTGTTCCCTTCCACCCTGCATTACATGGACACCCTGAACATCTGCTGACGCCTGAGGCACTCTCCTGTCACCAGGAGCAAGGATTCTCCTTGATCTCATCACCCCAAAGGAGCTGGGGTGTCTCTGGGAAGCCACTGCCTGCTGCAACAGGAACACAAAGGCACCCAGGTATAGCTAAACTGAGGCACGAGACAAAACTGGGCTGAAAGGCCCTGTAAACTCTCCTAGCCTGAGAAGAGAGCAGCTCCCTGCACTTTACTTGACTGTGATCAGCTTGGGCAAGCTCTATCTGAAACTGCGACTAAAGAGCACTAAGTCAGTCACAGTTGCAAGCTCTTAATCTCTCCCACACCCAAAGAAAGGGTGAGTCCCTGCTGTACCTCACAAACAACCGTCTATCATGCTATAAAGATAAACTAATGCTGACCCGGAGTAGCTACCAAACTCGTCTTCAGCGTGCCCGGTTCAGCAGGAGCCGCAGGTCGCGAGCCCTCCATGGAGACCCCATCCTGGGAGTTGGTGCGGGAAATGGGCTCCGGCGCCTTCTTCCTGCGCTGCAGACCCTTCTGGATGGCCTGCGAGTCCGTGGGCAGGTTGGCCAGCTGGTGAAAGACGTTCCGCTTGCGGATCACAGCGTAGACCAAATTGGAGTTCCCTGGGGACCACAGCAACAAAATAAGCAGAGGAGGAAGATTCAGAGAGCCCTGCCAATGGTCAAGTCAATGGTCATGATTGTACAGTCATAAGAGCATAATACAGTCATAGGACAGTCCTGGTAATAATTAGTATAATGATGGAAACCCTGCAAGCTCAGAAAAACATGCTTTCACTCACAAAAGTAGTGGCATGAGGGAAAAAGAGAGGAGTTTTGTATCCTGTTGTCCATTACAAAGCAGTTCAAGAAATTCTGTGAAATCTTTCCTAGGCCAGAAGACTTATAACCAGAAAAAAAGGCTTAAATAGTCACTTTCAAACTTCTGTCTGAGAAGAGAAAGGAGGGTTTAAACTGCATTAGCAAGCATTTTGGAGGAAAAGGTTGCCAGACAAGAATCACTATTCCTCCATCTTCAACAGAGAGACTGGAGCACCCTACTTGTGAAAGAAACAGGCTTGAAAAAGAAAAAACAAAAGGCCCAGATTTTTATCATCTGTGACAGGAAACAGAATGAAACTAGAATGAAACTGTACTCTGAAATAAAATGCAAGCCACAACCTACCCATCTCAAGTCCTCTCTTCTGGTCTGCAAGAGGCAGAGTTTATATTGATAACTAGCTAGCATTTTATTTTGCTCTAATCCAGACAGAAGGGTAGGAACCCAACCTTGTTTTTTTCCTAACTTATCAGTCCTAGACAAGTCTCCATAGAGCTGACTTCTTCACTTCTCCCTCTCTCTGTCAGGCTTTTCTCTGAGCTTCAGGCTTATGTTCTGTTGGACTAAGCTAGCAGAAAGCCACTAAATAGAGCAATCTGTCCCTTACCATCAAACTGGTACTGAATGATGTTGTTGAAAACTTCTAGCAAGAAGAACACAAGATGATGGTTCTGGACAGCAGAGAACAGGAACCAGGTAGTGGAGAAAGCTTCCAGGAGATGCAGCAACTTGTTAGCAGCCACCATGGAGAGAGACTTCAGGTATGGAGACACTAAGGAAGGCAAAGAAATGAAAACCAGAAGCAGGTCCCTTCCAAGGGACAACATGAATTCATCACTGACAATGCTCCTCTTCTGTCTGCCCACGCTCTCTCTGCTTTCAGGAAAACCTCATGGAATAGCTGAGTCCAACAGCGTTCCACAGAAACTCTTCCCAACATGACAGAAGTTAAACAGGGATATCTCCTTAGCAAAACTTTACTTTTTTTAAAGTCTTATCGTGCAGTTTTTGGACTAGGAACATTATGGCTGAAAATCTCGTACCGCCCAAGTCACCTAGGCACTTGCTAGATGCAGGGGAGGCCACCAGCCCTGCAGGGAGGTGGCACTCCCTGCTGGAGAGGGACAGCACTGCCACCACCTGGGTGACAGCAACCCTAGAAGGGCTCCAGGGATCCCTCTATGCCCTCCTTGACCTGCCTCTCTCAGCCCAAGCACCATCCTGCAGCAAGAGGGGATCTTCAGCGGGCACCTCCAGCCCCGAGGTCACCATAATGGTGGCCACTGCCACCAGTAAATGCAAAGGGCTCCTCAGGACAAGAGGGATGTGGAGCTGCTGGAGAGAGTCCAGCGCAGGGCCACGAGAATGATCAGGGGCCTGGAACATCTGCCCTATGAGCAAAGGCTGAGGGAGCTGGGCCTGTTCAGCCTGAAGAAGAGAAGGCTGAGGGGGGATCTGATCAGTGCCTATAAATACCTCTAGGGAGGCAGTGAGGAGGAGGGGGCGGCCTCTTTTCAGTGGTGGACAGCGATAGGACTAGAGGAAACAGCCACAAACTGAAGCACCAAAAGAGGTGCTCTGGAGGTCCCTTCCAACCTTAACCATTCTATGATTCTATGAAGGGGCAGAGAGAGGAGAGTCCACGGGGAGGGAAGGGGAGGCTGCCCGAGCCGTCCCCTGCACAGGCTGCTTACCGTTCACAATGATGGTGAGCAGGCAGTCGAAGAGGGGCTGAAGCCGCTGGTGCCCGCTGGTTATGATCTTGTGAAAGACCTACGGGAAAGAGGGAATTCTTGAGCAAGGGCAGCACCAGGACCTTGCTGAAAGCACCCTCTCGACCAAAACCAGTGCCACCCCCGTGCTAATCGCTTCCTGACACCATTCCTTCCTAGGCTGGGCCCTGCGTACTCCACAATTACGCAGGTGGGGAAGGTCGCTCGCGCTGCAGCCCGGCGCTCCAGGAGCACAAGCTTTCATTTCCCGTGAATCCCCTGGGAACATCATTAGACTCTACAACATCACAAACAGAAACCAATTGTGAGCTGTTCCAGAGTGCATAGACAGCCTGATAAAAAAAATAAATCACCAGGAAGTGAGAACCTCTTCACCCTCTTCATGTCCAATGGGTGTTGACTCTGAACCCTAATGATAGCTTCTTGAAATGCCAAGGAGCTAATGATTTCATATTTGATTTTAGTACAAACATACAACTCAAATATTTGTCCCACATTTCTGAACTATGCCCTCAGACATGGAAAGACAACTGCCCCACGACCTGTTCAGCCAATTCCAAACTCGCCCTTCCCCTCTCCAGCAGGTATTCCCACAGGGGGAGCCTGAGGCATGTTCAGAGTATCAGAAAGCAATAACAAAACAGCACCAAGTCCTGGTCTATGGATTTCTTCCTACTTTTTCTAATGGGAATCTCCTCCTGGAGGTTGATCAGGAGCTGCTGTCAAGTTCCAGTCTGAAGCAAGCATGGACGTGTCAGGAGGCACTACTAGCCGCAGGCCTCTGCTGACAGCGCTGTCAACACTGGGATCAACACTGAGACATTGCCACCCACAATCAGGTCCAGCAGAGACCAGCCACCCCGTCCATGCCAGACTCTCCTTTAGGCATCAGTCCAGTTCTTTGGGATCATTTGTATGACGTGCCCCCTGCCAGACACATCACCTCAGGCTAGTGTGCAGCAAAGACCCCACTGGCACTTGGATGCATCTCATATACTTTCCATCTACTCAGTGGACTGGCAATCCAGGGAAGAGCCACTGAGGGAGGAAAACAACTGTTGTGGAGATGTGAGAGAGGACAGAAGAGGCCTGGTACTCACTATGATGAGCAGATCTGCATGTGTCCCCGTGAAGACAGGGATGTCCATAGGCACTCGCACAGAATAGGGCTTGTTCAGGCGAACGCCGAAGTTGCGCTCCCCGCTGAGCAGCAGCAGGATAAAGACCCCGATATGCATCAAGCCCACTCGTGCTGTGAAAACAAAGACATCCTGGTGAGGTCTGTGGGCTCCTGGAAACAGGAGAGTGGCACAGAGAAGACAGAAGAAACAAAAAATGATTGGGCTGAAAGAAAAATTGCACAAAGCAGAACATCCTCCTCAGGAACATCTCACACAGAGATGCTCCAGAACCAGCATCTGTCTTGAGTGGGTTTATGAAGCCAGGACAGCATAAATCTCACATGGATTATGCTTTTCTTCATTCAGTTGGGTAGATGTAAACCCAAAGTACCAGCAGGAAAAATTTGACTTCTTCCTACCACTCAGGATGGAGTTATACCCCCACTTACGCCAAGGAGAGAGCAGGTTGCCCATTTCTCCCTCTTCACAGCATCAGAGACACTATTTTGGACCTGAGGACCAAACATATGAATACATGCCAAGGATCTCTCTCTCCCTCTGCTGTGGTACAGATCACGTCCTGCTTCCAGCCCATTGCAAAATTTAACAGCCAGCTAATGGCAACACTCTGCTTACTTCACACCTGCAGATGACCAGGAATAGGCATTCAAACCACAATTACAACTGAGCAGGAGAGAGGAAGCATCTTAAAAACATTCTAGCGTAACTACTAAGCACAGAGGGCCCAGCTCTGCCAAATAACCAACTTACATTGGTCTGCTCTGGCGTCGTTGAGAAAATACAAGATGGGGACGAGGATGTCAAGAACATCGCTGCTTTTCAGCACAAAGAAGAGAAATTTCTGGAAGAAAGGGGAGGATTTCAGACAAATACAATTATAATTGGGTTTCTCCACCATCCTCTGGACTCAAAGCAATGTAGCCTCAATCTAAACAGCTTCCTAAGGCTGTTAGAAAGGCTGGGTACAGATACCAGCCTTTTATTTTCATTTACTTGATAAGTAATTTTAATACTTGCTCTTGCATCTAGCTCAGGCACTGATCTCTGGGAGCTATGGCCATTCTCACATTCTCTCCCTGGGTCACAACCCACCTGGGAAAGAACAGCACAGTTGACCCTAAAACCACAAATCTATTGTCCTCTACCTGCTTTGAAACACACAGGCCTTTGCCAGGGCTTGGTTTGGCCCGAGCCACATCGGGCTCTGGGCACCAGGCAAGGAGAGGCAAAGCTTGACAGTAAATAGATCAGCACCTTATTGAAGTCACAGAGTTTCCAGAAGAGGACGAGGAGCTCCTGGTGGAACTGAATCTTCTTGGCAGAGTTTGGCAGGTAGGTCTGGACCAGCGGGTTTGATAGCAAGCGGGCCACTCCTTTCAGGATGAACTGGAAATCCTGTTGACAGACCAGGAAAAACTGTGGTGGGCCCAGTGCTAGTGCAATCAGTATGGAATCAGACGGGAAGTTCATGACACGAGCACTTTACCTCTTCTCGGTGTATTCTTGAGAGGTAATTTACAAATAGATTGTCTGGTCCCGGAGGCTGCATTCAAATAAAACAAACAAAGTGCTGTTGGTGACAGGATATACTCAGGCAGTCAAGTTAAGTCACTGGCTTTGGGGGCAAACGTCTCTCACTTCATTTTTCCTCTCTGAATAATCTAGCTTTAAACTGGAATTAACCTAGGGAACAAGGCACCTTAGGGGACCTGTAAAGTCAGGGGCTTTTCACTGGCACATTATAGATTCAAAGCAATCATTGAAACTTAGTGGTCTGGTCATTCATGGTTCTTTAGCGCCCTATAGAAAGAAGCAGGACACATAAGGGTCAGTTCTGCCCCAAAGCAAGTAAGAAACTTTAGACTGCGAGGACAGGAGTGTTGGGCCCTACAGGTCAGTGTTCAATGTAAGGTGACATAAGAGGATAACAGTGTGTTCAGGAAAGCTGCATAGAAATGTCCTGGTATCACTCACATCCACATCATCCATAGCCGTGCCAGTGGTCGTGCCATCCACCGTGGGACTCGAACTGGTGGAGCTGTCATAGTCCAAGGTGACAATGAGCACCTGGGCCGCCTCCTCCACCAGTGGCTCGCGATAGTCGGAGAAGAGCAGGTGGTTGTAAGGAATCCCATAGCCCACGGGGTCGTAGGCGCAGACGATGTTGAGGAGCGAGGTGAAGAGCGGGAGCGCGTGCCTGGGGAGGAGAAGGAAACGCTCGCAGGAGGCAGGAACAGAGAGCAAGAAGCACAGCCTTGAGGTGGCAAGAGAAAGGCCAAACTCTCACTTCAAACAGGCTGAGACGGAGCGAGGTGAGCACAACATGGTCACCATGACAGGTATGGACAGGCTGCAGCTGGGTCAAGTCTGTGGAGAGCCGCAGCACACAACACAAGACCCACAGCTGAGCAGCTGAGAGACAAGAGCTAACACAGCAGCTCCCTGCAGGCTCCTGGCCTGCAGCTGAGTGGGAAAGGGAGGTGAAGGTGATGTCGCCCCTCAGAGGGATGTTGTCCAGCCATCTGAAAAGGAGAGCAGGACCTTAAAGCTCTCCAGACTCTGGAAAGACTAAATTGGCTACCTCTAGCCAGGACCATGTTGCCCCAGACGGGTGACTGTCACGTCCAGGGACGACAGTGTCACTAGAGGGCAGTATTCACTCGCACCAAGCACCAGAAGACAACCCACTCCGCAGTACTTCACTAGCATCCACACCAGGGAACAGAAACCTCCAGAAGAGGGACCTGCATCAGACTCACCTGGACACTGCACTCGTGTCCCTCTCTTTGCTGCAGAGTTTTCACTAAACAGAGAAGCTAATGGGGATGTAAAGCAAGACAGAGCACAGAAAAAGGACGAGGAAAGCCACCGTGTTGGGAGGAGCAGGGAGCCAGCAGCTCCCTGGTTGCCAACAGCCTCCCTGGGAGCTGCTTCCCTCCAGGCACTCGGCCCTTCTCCTCTCACCTGTTCTCAGTAGAGCAGAAGAACTGCACCCACGGGTTGGCATTGCTGCTGTCTGAAGAGGGAGGCAAATACATGGCCTCAGAGAAGCAGGTCAAAAGGAGCTTAAGCAGCTCTGTCCTGAAAGAAGGGAAGAAAAGACGAAGTCTTAAGAGTCATCCCGGAACAGGGACAGGACACAGGCAGCACAGTCACTGACACAATAACCCTTAAGGAAGGCTCTGTCTCAGTTTTGTAGTCTTTCCCACATGTATCTGGGCGCCCAATCTGATTTTTGGAGCAATGCTGCTGTTCCTGACCCAAAGCACTACACTGAATTGCTGCTTTATGGAAAAGAAATACAGCAGAGAGGTCCTGGCCTGCTTCAAAGCAGCAAGGTTTTCCAGCTCCCACCACAGACACTCCAACTCCCAAGTCCCACTGCAAGAATAAATACAAAGGGAAGACTGGGATTTATCTGTGCTACTAGTCCTGCTAGTTCAGACAGGACTAAATAGAAGGATCCTTGGAATCATGGACATCTTGATAAGTAAAGAGCCCAACTTCTTCAGATCACTCTCTCCCAAGTCCCTCTTATTTCCATTCTGCATTTGCAGACCCTCTCACCTGTTCAAGTCATGGATGTAGTTGGGTTGTGGTGAGTGAGCAAAGCCCACGCCAGCCTCCCAGATGTACTCACAGCTGTCAATGGAGTGGATATCCTCTGCCGTGTCCTGTGGGAAGGAGGAGGTCAGAGCCCAGGAGGCAGAAGAAGGAGCTCACAGCCCTACTGGTATCCAAGGCAGCTCAGCCCCTCTCTTTAGCAATGGCAAAGAAAGCAGCAGAGCAGCACCCACACATCAGGTTCTGCACACCAGGGCCAGGCAGAGCACTGCTGGGACAGGGGACCTCATCTTTAACATGTGCTGAGCACCCTTCCAGGATGAAACCCTTTCCCTAGCACGCCAAGGAGAAAGGCAAGGTGTCACTGCAGGGAAGAGTCACCTGGCACCAACAGATGCAGCTCCTGGCACAATTCCCAATCGCTTTGTCTCCTGAGGACACAAACCCCTGCAGTTTGCCCTTCTTTATCATGGGCAGCCAGGTCAGCATTAAAGCAGCTGAGAGGATACAACCAGGCACGAAAACCACCCATTTCTCCTCCAGGAATAGCTGCGAGGGCCCACACGAACATACTCACATCAAGGACGCCTGGCATGCTTTTGCTGTCTTTTTTTTTTTTTTTTTTTTTTTTTTTTCCCTTCTCCCTTCTCTCCAGTGTTTTAATTAAGCAAATTCTCCTGCCTGTCTTTTTATCCTCCCTGCACTCAGGCAGAGCAGCTCAGAGGACTGTGCTCCTAATTGCTTTGGCTTCCCATTGCATAACCTCCCTCCCTCCCACAAAAGCAGTGACCTCAAGACAGTGGGGCCAAGAAATACTGCCAGGTCTCTCTTCTGCCCGTTCATCCTAGCAGTTGCTCTTCCTCCACTCTGCTTCCACCATCCTCAACCACAGACTGTGGCTCCAGGACTATATGCAGTTCTGCCATGACCATGAGGTGGTTCTACCCATCTCTCCTGCCCTTATCCAGTAGCCAGACCCAAGAGCGCAAGTCAGATCAGGTGTGAAGAGGGAAAACCCTTTACCTTACAGGTAGACACCAAATAGAGGGGCTTCCCAGTCTTGCTTGTGGACTGGACCTACAATAAATACCTGCAACAGTGGCCACAAAGCTGGGGAGAAGGAGTGAGCAATGAGGAGATACCCTAGCTTCAATCTCTAGCACATCTGGCAGAACATCCCTGCTTCAGTGAACTCCTCTGAAGCAAAGACAGAGCGCAGAAATCAGGCCACATTTGTGTTTGCTGCAGTAATATGCGGATGGAAAGGAAGTGCACAAACACGGCAGACTCTTTATTCATTTATGCCACAGTACCTGTGTTCAGGCAAACAGAGCTACCTCCATCCCTAGGTTGCACCACATGGCAGGGGAAACAACAAGGTGCTAAAGGTCTCTGCTCTCCCGGGAACATCAAAAGAGCAGTTGTTTGCCAGCACAGTCACGGCTTCCCAGAGTTGAGCTGTAATGCCAGGCAAGGGACAGTCGCTCCAGCCTGTACTCGCTTAGCTGTCCCCAAACACCCCAATGCTGTGGCTCTCCCCAGCCTCTACCACACTCACAGCTTTCTCACAAGCCAGGGAGGGCAAAGAGGAGCTTCCTGTATCAACACACACTTGTATCTTCACTCACTTTGACCCAGGCTCCCTTTGTTACCCCAAGAAAGACGTTTTTAAGAGTAATTTCTTTGCTCTAGGAATCCCTTCGATTGATCTCTACAGAAATCAAGAGTTTACTTTTGACAAGACACAAAAGCTCTGAACACAAAGCATAAAGACATAATAATGCTTTTATGTCCACAACTTCTTCCCTTTGCAGGTTCTCAATAGATTTTACAAGCAGAGATTATCCTGATGCTTTGATATCCTATCCTATCATTCACCTTCAGAACAAAGGGGCTGGCTTTAATCATAGATTTGGTTAAAATGATGACGGATTGCTTTAAATCTAACACCTGCTGTAGAAGTCAGAAATGCCATAAAGTCAGCCCAAAATGTGAACATTAGTCACTGTGCGTTCAAGCTCAATGACACAGCATTTTCCTGCCTGCCCATTTGCAGGAAGCTGCTCGGATCTTCCAGGTGCCCCCTAATCCAACTACCTATATCTATGTGGGTAATGTTGTGATCCAACTTACCACCGTGCTCCTCCGGTGGCTCTGCACCGTGAAATCAGGACAGAAGAGCAGATCCGCGACTGCAAGGAGCAGCGACTCAGCCAGCGGCCGGGCATTTTCATCATCCTCATCCCCCTAAAATGGAGAAACGTAGAGCAGTATTGTGAATCCAGGGTGAGAGAAGAGCACACAGCAACAGTGGTATAACACACGGAAGGCAGAAGTCCAAAGGGACAGGCAGGAAAAACGCAAAACCCCCTCCATAGAGGCAAAGAGTTCCCCTGGGAGTTGATGGCTAAGTGGCGAATGAGCTCTCTAATGAGAGCCACCAAACAGAGCAGGTGAAGGATCCCAGGCCTAGAGATGCTGGGAAGACAGAAGAGTTGCACTGGATCCTGCTGCATGGAGCTGCTCCGCTTACTGAAGCCAAAAGCAACAGAATCCATTCACAGAGAAGAGGGTGTTACAGACACAAAGGAAGAAGGCGACTCAGTTGGGGCACAGGAAGACACCAAGCGGCAGTGGAAAAACGGGGAAAAGCTCCGGAAGGCTGGACCTGGAGGGGACAGAGCAGGGGAAGCAGGAGGTGCCCGGCGCAGCCAGCGCCACCCCAGGCTGCCGCAGAGGAGACTCCACCAGCTGCATCGCTCCCAGCTCCCACACGAATCCTGCTCCACAGCCTTTGCCACAGGAAGCTTCTCCCGGCCCTGTTGCCGAAGGGATGCGACGTGCGGCTGTCCCCAGTGCACGCGGCTGTGGGAGGGTGGGGAGGCACCTGCAGCAGAGGGGCTTGTCCTACCCAGCCAGCCATGTGGCTCTTCAATCACAGCAGGCAGCTAAGGACATAACGGCCTGGGGGCTCCGACATCTGTCAGGAAAAAAACAGGCGGACAGATCCCGTATGTAAGAGGAGGCGCGGAGAGGACGGACAGAGGCTGCTGGCAGCAAGGATGCTTTCACTGGGGCTGGCGATCGGAGATGAACAGAGAGGCATTAAGGTCCAGAGGGATTTTGTTTTAAAGAATGGTCTACACTAATATAGGCTCGGCTTCCACGAAAAGCCCCTGGAGGCTCTAGGCACCCAGACATCCAGAGTGGCACAAAAGAAGCCAGTAGATCCCAGTGGGGAAGGCAGCTCATTTCCAGAGCGCTCCTGAACAGGTTGTCTGTCTCAAGAACTGTCACCCTTTCTCTTCCTCAACACAGCAACACGCGCACAAATACAGCCCCTGTCTAAGCCCTGCATCCCCCTTCAGGGCCAGCACCCACCCATGCTCAGGTCTCGTTCAGGAGGGAGCGACCCGCCTACCAGCCGCTTCTGCACCCGGAACCCCAGCACCCTGCTGATAACCCAGAGGCAAAACAGGGGCTGGCCACCCCAGAGCCACCCTACCACTAAAAACTAAGCAACTCCCTCCTCCACGTGCAGGACGCAGTACGGACAGCGGGGACAGCAGCCAGGCTGGCTCAGGGCACCAGGCACCCCACTGTCACCTTCCCCAGAGCAGCTCTGCTCCCTTGTTCAGCCCCTGCGGATGGAAGGGTGACCGAGCACCCTCCCCGGTGCATGGGTTGTGTAACAGAGAGCAGCTCCCACAGGCTGCCCTGCCCACCAGCCACAACCTCCCCTTGAAGCTGCCTCAGGGGAAGGAGATTAGAGGTGACAGGCAGAGACGGCACAGGGTTCCAGCTGTACCTGCCACTGCCAAGCCCTGTTAGCCCTGCCCCAAAACAGCACTCGAAACACGTGGGTGAAACCACCCTCTTCAGCACAGCGCTCAACCACGCTGGCCTGCACGCTCCGACACTCCTGGCATCCTGTTCTCCACGTAGGATGAGCCAGCTGTGGAGACAAATATGTATATTTGGGCTAACAACTGCCTTTACGACACTACTTCTCCCACCTGCAGGAGCTCCAAAAGCATTTTACCCGTGCCACACTGCAGCTAAGCAGGGTGCTGTTGTGTCTGCTCTCCAGCCAGGAAAAAAAGACAAGGTTTAGATTCCCCTGGGGTCACGCACATCAGGAACATACCCAGAAATAGGCCCCAGCTCTTTAAATTTTCAGTCACTATTGGTCAATTAGGGGCTTCACCTACCAGTGAGATCCCAGTAAAAAATCTGCCCATAGCAGCTCTCTCTTATGGCTATACCCAAGGAAGAGCTTCGGGAGATGCAGCAGCCCAGGCTAAACCCAATAGCTGAAGGCAAAAGAAAAGCAGCAAGAACCAAGAGAAGGAAACCAGCTCAGAAAGCGCCGTTTACTTTGGGACCAAATACTACTGGAATAAGTGACTCCCAGCGGCATGTAGGTCTCCCCCCACAACCTGCCCCTCACTCTCGAAAGGAAGAATAAGTGCCAAGACACAGACCCCTCCTCGGCCAGCGCCAGGGACAGTTGACCAGAAGAAGCCTCTCCAGTCTGGGTCCTCAAAGATGTAGGGCAGGATGCGCGTGAGGAGCCGGCAGCAGTTCAGGACGATCTGCCTCTCCTTCTCCGTGTGGCAGCCGCTCTCTGCTCCCTGCACCAGCTTCTCCACAGCCTGGGGGCAACAAAAACAAGACAGGAGGCATTAGCCTGGAGACACTGAGCAAGAACCCAGACCTGGGTTCTACTCTTCCACTGTATGGGATACTACATGGAAAGAGGAGGCAGAGATTTCCAACCACACAGGAAAAGGAGACCCCTTCTCCCCCTGCACTCATTTCCTCTGATCCCTGATCTCAAAAGGAAGATGAAAGCAGAACCATTTACCCAGGATTCATCTTGCAGCTTTTTAATTCATGGGGCCACGTGTCCCTGCTCATTTTCATAGCAGACTGTCTGGGTCACTGACTCTGCTGGTTTACGTCACTACCTTAATGGGTGCTGTTTGGCTCCTCTCAGCCTGGCCCTGCAGAGTCTGTGGCTGCACCTAAGGGTTTTTTGGGGGCATTCTCACGGTGGAAGTACACACTATGTCCCCAAAATGACTGAGAGTGACATTTTGATCATGTTGTTGTGGTTTCTACAAACAGGCAGCGCTGCTAAGTCCAGCAACGTGCTGCACCACATGCACATCAGCACCCTCGGCCTGGCAACAGCACTGCAGGTCCACCGGCTTCTCTGCCTGTTGCACCAGGATCCAGAGCTCCTGGATGAACCACCCTGCCATGACCGGGTTTTCCATCATATATGTTTTCAAGAGGGAAAACAGCCCATATCTTAGGCTTATTTTGAGGGGAAAAAGGACACAGGTCTCTAAAGCCTCCTCGGTTCCTAAGTCGCTATTTGCCAGAACCCAGCACTAGCAAATGACCATTTTATTTCATTCTCATATTCTTCCTCAGACATCCACTACAGACCTCTGTCTGTATGATTCAGCAGGGCCCTTTTGCATTTCGTACAGCGGGAAAGAAAAACAGGACAGCAACAGCCATTTGCACATTGCCAGATACCATGCTGCATGTTTCCTACACTCCTAGTTCAAGGCTGAGCCTTATATGGCTCAAATCAAGAGTATTATCAACACCTGCACTTTCCCAGGCAGCGTAAGCCTCACCAGACTGTTCCCTCTGCAGCCTAAGCCACTACAAACCAGCTTGGCATTTTTCCTGGTTCTGGCAGAGCAGGAAACACGAGCTAACATCCCACTGCTCCATGAGGACGGGGCAACACCAGAAGCAGCACCAGGGACACACTGACATAACAAAAGAAGAAAGATGAGGCTTTGGACTTCCCCAGTTTCATCCAGGGACTTTTACAATGACAAACTCCACATTTCTCCGGGGTTGATGAGTTTGGAGGAGAAGTAAGACACAGCGAGGAGTGCTCAGATGCAGACAGGGAAACAGACGCTCCAGCCACACCACATACCTGTGATGTTGGTATTAAGTTCCCTAAGCTTGAAGCAGCTACCACTTCAGGCAAGGCTCGGGGTTGCACGATGAGATGCATGGCAGGAAAAAGAAACAAGAAGGTCTGAACTGAACAAACGCAGCTGTGGTCTGTGGTAAACCACGAGAGGAAGGGCTGAGAGTTATCATGAGCAGATAGGGACAAGCCAGCAGAGCACGTGCCAGCAGCCACCACCATCACCTAACTCTTGCTTAGCTGAACGTGTTAAAATGTCCAGTGCTTACATAAAATTGCCTGGGAAGCCATAGACTCTTGGCTGAGGAACAGCCTCCCTCCATGAGCATGGCACTGAGGAAGAGGAGGGCGAACTCCTTACCTTGTAACACAAAGTAGCCAAGTTGGAAGGTGATTCTTCTCTCACTGCTCGGATCTCTGCAGCAGGTACAAGGGCAAATACATCCTGCACTGACGTGGCTGTGTCTGCCCAGAACTGGTCCCAAAAGGCATCATCTGTTGCTTCCACGGGCTGCAGAAAGACAAACAGCTGTTAGGAAAACAGAGCTGCTGTTTTGTGAGGGCCAAACACGGGAGATTACACCTGGATCAGCCCTGGGTATCAGCAGTACCAAGTATCAGCAGTACCTATATACAGCAAGTGAGAAAAACATATTAGCACCGGTTTTACAGTCCAACCCCTCTGCTGTCAGAGCCTTGACTGATCCCATTGCTCCCTCTGCGATGAGGGTGACCAGCAAAACATTTATACAACCAGTTACATTGGGCTGGAGCTCTCCAAACACACAAGCCCATCTGCTTGGCTGCAGCCTAGGACTGCTTGGCTGCAGCCTGCAACAAGGTCTTCCCCAGTGCACGTGGGCCAGGCTGCTGTCACACATTCCGTCACCTCCCAAGCACAACAAGGATGCCCTGAGCTCACGCTGGGGCTGCATCTGTGGGAACCAGGCGAGGCAGGCAGGGAGACGTCACGTTTGAGCACGAACCTTCCGGAATCAAATATTCACGGAGAGCTGGATTCAGTGCAGCTGGTCCCTGCCAAGGCTTTGCTGTTAAAAAAAGCACTAAGTGTGCCAGTCGAAGGAGGAGATGGAATGAGAAGGCTGAGATACTAAAAAAGCAATCTGATTCCTTCCAGGCATTGCCCAAGAAGCCCATGTCCCCATGCCGGGGTGCAGATCTCCTTCCCTCTTACCTGTACTTCTGTCTCCTTCCCGTGGTGTGAGAATAAGTATTTTAAGGTAATACTTTACAAAGGTAAAAAAGCCTGAAGTGTTTCTGTCAGCAGGAAGGTCTCTCTATCACACAGCAGCTCAGGCATCCAAAGCCAGGGAGCTCTGAACTATCAGGGCAGACCTTTCAGCCAGCCTAAAGCTGAGCATCTTCCCATCTAACTGCTCGCACTCACCAAATACACAGAGGTAGTGTTCAGGCAGCCCAGGGGGCCTCTAGAAGGGTGGCATGAGCCTTCCTGAGAATTCATGCCATGAGAAAGGTGGGTCAACAAGTTCACTCAGAGGAGGAAAATGGAAGCGTCTCCCGAGGGATTTCCCTGGCCCTGCAGCAGCATATCCAGCATGTCCGAACAGGGGCCTGGCCAGACACCCCCGGCTCACGGGTCAAGGCAAGCGGGAACCTCCTGCCACCGACACGTGGCGGCTCCAAAGCGAAGAGCAGCTCCTGCTAACGGCGGTAACCAGAGCACGTCCGGCAGATGGGAAAGGGACAAAAATGCTCCCTGCTCTGCAGGCAAAAGGCTCCTGTCGTGGTGCCAAGACCTGGATCCCAGGAGAAGGGCTCACTCACAGCCCTGGCACCGAGAACACCTGAAATTCCCCTCCAGGAAGAGGAAACACCTGCTGAATTAACAGTCACAAGCAGGGGATGTGTCACCATCACCCCAGGCCAGCAAGCGAGAGCAGCAGGCAGGCTGCCCCCAAACTGGAAGAGCTGGTTATTCCCTACAGCACCTTAACGGATCCATAGGCTCTAGGCTCGTGCCCTCCTTCCTGCCTTGCAGTGAATCAGCCCAAGCTGCTACCCAGTTCTCAAGCAAAAAGAAAAACACAGTGTCCAAGAATCTTCCTAAATACTGCTGTAGAGCTGAAAACTGCTTCATTTTTATCACCTGACTTTTGAAGCAAGTTCCCACTAGATGCCTTTTTGAGGGAAACAGGATTTTTCCAAAGGATGCAATTGTACAGCTCCACAGAGGGAACAGTGGGGCACTTTGGAGCTCTATTTTGAGGGGAATTTGGCTCCCAGCGCACAGGGGATCCGCGCTTTTCCATAACCTGGTCCGCAAGCCTCCTTGCAAACCTGATCTTTAATCACACTCCTCCAAAAGAACCAAACATTCGGGACGCGAACCGATGCACAAAGTACCCTACGCTTCCTACTCCACCCTTCACGGCGTGTAGCACAACCGCGCAGAGAACTGCCACGTGTACCCCCTGGCTGCCCGCCACAGCCGCTCGCCCCGACAGCGGCGAGCAGCAATTGCTGCTAATTGAAGATCATGCATAAATTATGGACTCGCCCTCGTCTGCGAGGGAAGGAAAAACCCATTTCCCCCCGGTGGATGCCGATCGCTTTCCCTGGCATCAACATGCAGCCTCCACGGAGGCCCAACACAGCCGCCGCGTCCCACGAGGTGACACAGCCACTGGTGACACAGCCATCGCGCCTGTCATCTTAGCAAGCAGCGTGCACTGAAACATCAGTTCTCCCATTTTTAATAGCTGCAGTGGGTAGGTTCCTCGTCCAACAGATGGTGCAGCCCTTTTGCATGATCCGGGGATGTGGATTCAGGGCCGACTGAGTCACTCGCACCCCTGCGGCCCCTGGATTTTATTTAATAGTCTGGCATCATGCAGCTACTTGCTGTACGTACCACTCATCTCCTTGATAGACCACTCCTGGGTTTTCTTACGCTCACAGTACCTCACAAACCATGTCTCTGGGGGATCTAAATGTGCGCAGTGCAACAAGGGCATCGTGAGGGGCTCAATCCTCATCAACAGCATGGGAGCTACGGCCACTCCAGAACCTCTGGATCACATAGACGTGTCCCTTCTTGGCAGTAAAGCTGTCAGACAGGAGCAGCCACATGCACCTCCAAAACGCTGCTCAGCAGCAGCTCCCCACCAGGCATGCAATGAGAACAAGGACTTCATTGCAGCACCAAGAGAGGGTCCCACAACAAAACTCCCCTCTGGAATCACAGCTGGGACATCTGGGGAGCCAAGGGAAGTCCTGAGCCCTCATTCAGCCCTCATTCAGCTGCTGCAGTTGGACAGCAGCTGGCAGAGCTGCTGCGGCCCAGATCCAGCTCTCCATCCAGAAGGGAGGAGACCATGGGCACAGCGGTCCCACAGGCTTGTGCAAGGGAGGCGACTGCTTTTTACCTATAGTTCACCTCGGCGATGTGTAAAACCCTGTGGGTGCAGGCTGACCAGAGGCAGAGCAGGTCCTGCCGAGCAGGGACCTAAACTTCAGGTCTGGGGTCCTTTGAAACCCACCACAGCTACGGGAACCACAGGAGCTGGAAAGGGAAGCCGCTCAGATTTCAAATACCAGTTACTGCACAGAGGATCACAGCGCTGAACAAGCAATTCCTAGACAGGATACGTCAAAGGAAATGGGAAAAAGCGCTGAGCTGACAATATCCCATAAACAGGAAAAGGTCCCAAAGTACAGCCTGCTACCCTGATTTTTACTGTCCTCAACCAAAACCTATTGTCATTTGCACTTCTTCCTTCAGACCCAATCCCTCACAAACTGGACAGAGCGCCTATTTGTACCCAGCTCCCAACCCAGGGCTCTCTGTATCTCCGGCCACATATTCCCAGCAATCCCTCCAACAGCTCCTACCCCAGGGTTGATCCTAAACCACCCTAAGGGTGTTGTGAGAGAACCAAAGACACAAGCAGACACTTGTCTTGCTCACCGTGTTCACCCTCGCCTTCCAGTCAACCCCCCATACAAGCATCCTACAGGTCCAGACCGCAAAGTCCTTAAGCAGGGACTGTCCTTGTCCTGTCACCATGGAAGGGCCTTGGTGCCCTTCCGCACCAAGGAAGGGCACCACTGCCATGGAAATTGAGGTAATTTATAAACAGCAGTGTGCTCCTTTCCACCCAAATGAGGCAGAACTACAGGGTGTAATGACCAGCGTCGCTCACGAAGCACTCCGTTGGGTTCCAGGAAATCTGGTGGCTCTGCACAGCCAGCTGATTAGTTTGAGGCAAAGTGTGCACTTTACCAACCTGTTTTGGAGCCAAGGAAATTCTGAGGACAGATTTAAATCGTTAATAAGTAGCAACATTTGAGCCTCAGTGCCAAGGCCAGCAGCTCCATACAGTTTTCAGAGTAGAAGTGATTTTCCTTTATTCTTGCAGTCAGCAAAGGAGAACCAAGGTGAGACTCCAAATGAATCTTCAGTCATTTTCTGCTTCCGCAGCAGGGGTTGCATCACATAGAGCTGAAATGAGGAACTGGAAAATGGGATTGGGCGAAGTCTGACAGGAAAAGTCTAGGATAAAAGTCACCTGTGTGAAGTGTTGTCTTAGAGGCAAAGCTGTAACTAACAAGTTTGCTTTTGATCAAGCAAGTAGACTTGACTACTTGAATCAAGTCTGGATACTGCCAAAAACAGCCTACCAAGAAAATTACCCCTATCTTATCTTAAGATGTACTTTCCCTGTGCTTAAACTAACAAGCAGTTGTGAAACAGCTGCTGCAAACCCAAGAGCAAGAAAGGGCTGGAGTTTCTGTATCCCTGTTGCTTGATCCTCCCAGTCTCTTTAAAGGCAGCAGTACAGCCAGTGCTGTAACAAGCTGGTTCACAAGATCAGGTATTTCCTATCTGCCAATTGCTTGTTGCTGAAATTGTTTAATCACCAGAGGACTGAGAATAGAAAGCATGTGTTTCCCTAGCAATTAATGGGCTCCCAACTTCAGCTTCCTGCTCTGTCGCCAAGTTGGTGCCATTCTCAGAGTCTACGTTTCCCTTCGCCCGTGGCATGCGCAGCATTTTCAGGGGTAGCTTGGGTGGGCACACACATCCACAGTGGTAAAGCTCACGTGGACCCCCAGGAAAAAAAGATGCTACTGCCTTATTATTGAAAGGACTTTATAAATTTAAGTGTAATGTAATATGTGTAGCATATAAAAATCTTCAAGCCGATTATCACTATACACTTGCAGCACATGCAAATATCTTGCCTGCTAGTACCACCATCTTCCATCACTGAAGTCATTTTGAAGTGATTTCCCATTTTTAATACTGTTAGAGCTTCAAATTTCTCTCTCCCAACTAAACAAATCAGCAAAGCCAGTTTCATTCCTGTCCGTACTTGGTTTGACTTTCAAGTTCTGGGCTCCGCGTTTGGTGCAAGTATTAAAATGCAATGCCTCTTACACATCATTTTTTAATGCCCACATAGGAAAACTTTGACTTTTTAATCTGACAGAAGTCTGGAGATTTAAGAGTTTCGTTTTAGGAAAACCTAACCTCAGTGCTAACTCTGGACTGCCATCAATGCATGAACACTGCTTTTTGCTGTACCATTTCCTTCCAGCAAAGCCTCTAGAAACACTGCAGCGCTCAGGGTTTCATGTTACCAATGACTTGATGAAAATCCATTCCCCTCGCAACCAGATGTCAGAGCAGAGGGCTGGAAAAGAGGAGGCGCTGAGAAAGCAACGTGTATTTTGAGCGCATCACTTTGGAGCAGGAACCTCCCTCAGCCCGTTATTCCAGCTGGGTGTGAAGCCGGGGACCGCGGGCTGGGGCTTTACACAGAGGTGGCTGCTGGCAGCAGCTCAGAAGGTCTCAGGGGAGCCCAGTCACGCACCTGCCCAAGCAAACAGGGCCCTTCTCAGGTATGTCAACATGGGAGCGCCAACACCCCACCCGTGTTCCACGTGGCACCTGGTCTCGCCTGCACCACAAAGACCAGGCAAGAGTGAAGCCTTTTCTCCTTCCTTCACACGGGGCCCCAGCGTGTCCTTTCACTGCGTATGTCAATAAACCAGCTGGGAGGGAGGGGGAAGGCTCTTTTCCTGCCTGGCAGCCCCATATTCATTTTTCTTTGTGAGCAGCAGACTTGAAAGATCCCTTTAGCTAACAGATATGCTGAGAAGCAGAGGCTTCAGCCTCCTCTCATTTTATAAGCACATTTGCTAGCAAGAGGAGAATCCAAAGCTTAAGTCATGCTGAACTATTCTGGCATCCAAGAGAGACTCTGGAAGAATCTCCTCCAACGCTCATTTCTCTGCTTCTCATCTTGCCTAGGAACCTCATGGCACATCCAAAATAGGATATTTTTAAGCAAAACTTCACAAAAGACATTCCTGAGGGGTGTAGATACAATTGATGCTGCGTTAGAAAATATAAACATCATCATGTTTATCATCTCATCTCACGGGCTCTTCCAGCCCTATCTTCTGCAATCCTTTTCTCAATCCAAGTCTTTGCTTCATGGAATTTCAGATTTTTCTCACAACAGCCCTGGCTCTCCTTTGCATTCATTCCTTTTCCTTCCGACCTCACCCTCCTGCCATCGCAGCGGTTTCTGTCATCATCCCCAAACTGTTACCTTGGCCACTCTTCCCTTGTCAGTGGATGAGGACATGTGCTCCCCATGGCAGCTCCAAGGCATTTGGGACATGGTTTCCCGGCACTGCCCCTCGGGCAGACAGCAGCCCACGCCACTTGGCTGCTCTTGCTGGGCTCCCAGCCCAAGGGAAGAACCAGATCCCAGGATAAGAGTGAAACCTGTTAGGCCTCCAGCCAAACACCCTCCCTATCCATGACCCCGGCTTCTTCAACTGCTGTTCAGCCCACAGACACACAGCGATGTCTTTGTGGGCAAGACGCCCTTTCCACCCATCGCCACCCAAGCACAGGGCAAGACTCTCCCACAATAATTAGGAAAAACACGGAGAAAAGGGGCATTTCCAAACGCGGCGGCACCACGAGTCCCACACGAGCACGCCGGGCGCTTGGGAGCTGGGTCTGCCCCGTCAGGGCTCCGGGACGCGCGGCAACGCGTCCGAACGCGACGTGTCGGGGAGGCAGCGGGCGCCGGCCGTCATGCTGAGCCCCCGGGTAGGTGGCAGGTGTCCCCAGGCCCGGGCTGCGTCCAGCCAGCACCACCACCGCATCCCGCTCTCCCAAGGGATGCACGGGGAACGGGCTCCGCTGAGGGGAACAGGTGGCTGCCATCAGCGGTGCGGGGAAACCAGGAGGCCCCTGGCCCGGCCATCATGGCCTCGGCGTGCACCTGTGCTGCAGAGCAGGGACAAATGACCACGACGAGGGGACAGGGGGAAGGTGCCAGCAAGCAGAGAGCGCAGCCCGCGGCGAGGGGCCCCCCGGGCGGCGGAGGCCGCGCCTCAGGGCGGCTCCCGACATGGCGGCCCCCCCAGCGCGACATGGCGGCTCTCACCTGGGTCTTGGTGGTGAGCTGGATCACCGCCTTCCTGAAGTTGAGCTTGGAGTCGGCGCTGCCCATGGCTGTGGCGCGGCGGGCGCGGCGGCAGGGCCGGCCCCTCGCGGCGCGTTACGCGGCCGCCGCCGCCTCCCCGGCCGCCGCCATCCCCCCCTGCCCCTGCTCCCGCCTGTCAGCGGCGGCCTCGCAGCTGCCGCCGCCGCGGCGGCCCTCCCTCAGCCCTGAGCCCTTCCTCCTCCTCCTCCTCCTCCTCCTCCCCCCCAGCTGGCGGCTCCTCCTCTCGCAATCCAGCTCCCGACCCTCCCTCTGCTGCTATCTCCCTTTACCTCCCCACACACCTTCATCCTCCTCCTCCTCCTCGCCTTCCCCTCCTTTACATCCCATCCCTTCACCCCATCTCTCAGTCTCTCCCATTGCCTCCTTCCCTCAAGGTCCCCGTACGGCTCTGCTTCCCCTCCCTGTTCCCTGTGCTGCAGGAGCCATGGCAGAGCACCATTGACTGTCTCCCCTTCACCCTCTCCACCAGCCTTGTTCTTCCCCCTTTTCCCCTCCTTTCCCTTCAGCAGCCCTTGTCTCCCAACCCCTCAGCCTCTTCCCTTGGCTGCCCTGGGCCACAAGCCCCTTATGGGGCCACGGAGGCACCACTCAGCCAGGAGCATCCATGGGGATGCAGGAGAGCAGGACCAGCTCCACCTCAGCCTGGTGCTGCTCCCAGAGGGGCCATGGGCTGGTCCAGCTGTAACAAACCCCCTCCAAAGGGCCCATTAACCCTCATGAAATTCCACCCACCTCTGAGGAGAACGTTTTTTTATAACCCCAGGGACCGGGCTTCAGTGTTTAGCCCGTGCTGAGCACCTCAAAGCAGCTGCCGGGTGTTGCCTTCAGGGCTGTTGTCTCCCTTGTGAGCACTGAGCAGCTCAGGACCTGCACGTGGGTCTCCCCAACATCACTGAATTGTATTTCACGCACTTGGCTCTTCCAACACCTCTCCCAGCTGTATTTCTGTGGAGGAAATGAGGTAATTCCAATCATTCTATCCTTACAATACATGTGTCAGCTCCCCCACTGATGCAGATGGTGGGGCTCCTCATTTGCTGGCATATATAAATTACCTGTGCTTGATTAGCTCAAGACCTCAGGTCAGATCTGAGACAGTTGCAAAACCTACAGGAATAGTTATTTTTGCAGCATCCCAGATCCTTTGACCTTTGCAGCCAAACACCTAGGGCTTTGCGCCTGGGACTTCACTCATTCGCTGTGCTGTGCAGATGAATAATGACAACTTGTAGCTAGGAAGAGAATATTGTTCACAAATATATACATATATATATTTCAGATATTATCTCCTCATTTCTATATTAGAAATAATCAGGGGAAAAAACAAAGACCTGGGAGCCATACAGACATGGCTTTCTCCCAAAATGCTATGACTGCTTCATTAACTCTGCTGTGTTACAAATGCTGGCTTAAAAGAGCCTCCTCGAGGCTTCTCTGCAGCTCCATTAAGGCAGGATACTTTCAAGATAATTACTGAATTGGGGAGAAATGCACGGATAAGGACAGAGAGGTCCATGAAAACACGAGAACACTCACCTAAAACCCCTCTGCTCTTGTGTAAATATCTATTGCCTTTTCTGTAGGCATCAATACAGAGCAATGCAAACAAATACAGATCTAGGGAGTTTCAGTGCATAGTGGGAAAAAAAAAATTATCAACCCTCCTTTACATGGGTTATTTTGTGCCTTAGAGTCCCTCCCAGATCCCAGGGTGAACAAGGACAAACACACGCACCAAATTCCACAACAGCAAACAAGAGCAAATCCACTTTCACTAATCCTTATTCCCTTGGATTGAGGAACAAAATCCCAAGCCTTTTCCAAACCTGCCTATATATAACAGGCACAGCTCCTCCAATTCCTCGTCCAGACCTTACAGATCCTCTTTCCCCTCAGTTCTAGGTTCATCCCACCCTTCAGAAAAACAAAAAACAAAAAAACAAAAAACAAAAAAAAAAAAAAAAAAACAAACAAAAAAAAAGAATAAATAAATAAATAAAGCAATGACAAAAGAACAAGAGCTTGTGATGAAACCTAAGAGAAAAGCTTGTGTCAAAAGCAGTGATTTCTTATTAGGGTGCAAATGTAGAGGCCAGGGAAGAGCTCGAGAATGGGCACCACTAAGGTGATGCTGCGGGATGGTTTATATGGGGCTCCCCCTTTACATGCACCCCTTGAGACGTTGGAAAAAGCTCTATTTGAGGAACAGTGCACCTAAGGAGGCCGAGACGGGGAAGCAACAGCCTCTCTGCTAAAGGCTCCCAAGAAGAGGAGGCTGCTGGATGCCCGGAGTCACCGAGGGGCCACCCCCGCACCCCAAAAGTGCCCGTGGCAGCCCCCTGCCCAGCTGCCTTCCCGGGGCGGGCAGCGATGCCCTGGGACGGGGACGGGCTGCAAGCAGCCCCGCTTGTCCCCGCAGCCCCCAGGCAGCCCGCGGCGGCGGCAGCAGCAGCCGGGGGGAGCCGGCAGCCCCTGCCCGCCCCGCTGGCAGCGGCGGGGCTGGGCGGAGAGGAGCGGGAGGCCTCGCCTCCGCCTTCCCTCTCGCCCGCTTCCCTTGCAGCATTTCCATGCTAGAGGTCCCCACCGAGCTGCGGAGAGAGGCTCTGCCCGCCCGCGCCGGGGCCTCTTCCTTTGTGCATCCCGCGGCCCCGCCGCGGAGCCCCCGCGGCCGCCCCGGCCCCGCTCCCGGCCGCAGCGGCCGCCCC